GATAATTTGGACCATTTTGAAGCAGTCCAATTCAATGTCTACACCGTCCAATATGTTCAAATTGGTTCCAACCCAAGCCTGGTCCATTGACGCCTGTATTATTATCTTCCATCAATGGACCAGATAATAGTTCAATCCAACCCAATTCAGTGTAAATCCATTATGGATGGACCAGGTCTAATACAATCCAATAAATACTTTGGACCATTAAGTCTGGACTGGTCCATTTCAATATGTCTTATTGGTCCATCCAATGATTCCAATCTATCAAATTTGATTTTGATTTGGATGGGGTCCAATCCAAAACCGGACGATTGACACCCCTACTCTTAACCTCAGCATGTTTAGCATGAAGTGGCCGGACTCGAGACTTAAACCGGTGTCTTCACTTTACATAAAAGAGTAGTCCACTATGAATTTATTCATACCAAAACTAATTCTCTGCAAAGTAGTTTGGAACTTACAAGAGCAAAGAATCACAAGTTCACAATTAATGGCTTCTGGCAGGAGGCCAATAAGGTGATCCTGGGCAGTTGAGTCTGAAAGAATCCTACTAATCTCAGATCATCACACAGGACGATGGATGCTCCAAAGGAATTAAGGCTTTTTTTAGGGTTAGCTGCATTAGCAGAGAGCTCCTGTATGAAGATTCAAGCAGGGAAATTGAAGTTAATGCACTGTACTGACTTGTGATTCTGCTCAACAACTGCAACTTTGGTTGCTGAGATGAATGCTAAAGGAATTGTGATCAAGCTATTCGGACATCTTTGGCTCCACTCCAGGTAGGAAACTTAGAATTAGAACCATCCTATAGGACAATTGTTTTTTTGTTGATGGACAATTTCTTTTAGTTTCCAGTTTCCGCCACCACCAGCTGCTTCCCTCGCTAGTAGACAATTGATGAATGCTTTCTGTTTCTTGTATTTTTTCTATCAAATTTAACACAGCATAAATGGTATGACTAGTTTCCACTAGGTTATGTTTGGTTTGAAGGAAAAGGTAGAGAAAGGAAGGAAAGCTCATACAATGTTTGTAAAGGTTTTTCTATATTTTCCTTCAAACCAAATACAGCCTAAAGGTAAAACTATGCATCTATACGGGTTAATACAAGGTTCAAAGTATTGATATGCACCCGTGAATATCGTATAATATGTATCAATTTTCAGGGTCACTTATATGCATTATTTTAAGAATTTTCACATTAATTTTAAAGGTATCAAACATTAACAATGAGAGTGCATGCGTAGTCGTGAATATCATATGGCACGAATATGCATTATCTTAAAAGTTGCGACATTTTAAAAGTATCAATCGTTAATCGTTAATGATGAATTTAGGATATATACTGTTAAATTTTCAAAACAAACAAATAAAATGAGAATTTTGATGATTCAAAATTCTTTGGTACACAGTCGATACTTTACCTTGAGTGCACAGGCAAGAATAAGTTAAATGAATAAAGAGTGGGAGAAAGTATAGGACAGAAAAGGTTAACGAAAAATGGTTTTGGAGTGGAAGAGATATATGGGGAGGAGTTTAAGGAATTGGAAAAGTTTGAAAGAGAGGTGGACTGTAGTAATTGATTATATCTTAGAAAAAAAGATGAATGGCGAAAACAAAATGTATAAAAAGAATAAGAGAGAGATCACACATCTAATCCTACATTTGAATTTAACTGTACTTTTTTTTTTTGAAAAAAAAATATGAAAAATCATAAAGAAGGCCATGTGGTCCATGTCTCCCAGCAATAAAATGTTTGTGTGGGGTGTTTATGAGCTTGTTTGAGCTATCAAGAGGCCTTTAGTTAGAGTTCCGCTTTGGTCAGTGCAAAGCCCGTTTCAACAGTCTTGTATTGGGAATATCTTCGTACTTATTTGCTTTATTTTATGATAGGATATTCCCATTCCCAATGCAAGGTTGCAAGAGGCTGTTTGAACGACATGGACTTGCACTGACCGAAGCCGAACTTCTCTATTTAGCCAAGAAAAAAAAAAGGAGCTATCAAGAGGCCTCAAACTAAGCCCAACCAACCAACCTTGAAATGGGCTTACTTATCAGGCCTAGTTCCATCCTGCAGCCCCAAATCACAACTCAACCTGTACAAAAAGCTTGGCTGGCTCAAGCTTTGTTTGGTCTGGGTTTGGATTAAGGCTGCAAATCAGGTTGCTTGATTTGAAGCTCGGTTATATTGGGTTTGGGTTAGGGTTCAGGCCATTGACTATTTAATAAATCCTCAATTCAACTTGACCCATGTTGCGCCTCTAGGCTGTCTCCAAAAGCTTAAATCACTTCAAAAAAGCAATTTTTCCTATTTACCAAATGAACTCACTTGATTTGTCAATATATGAAATCTTATCATTTACACTAAAAAAATTCCATATAATTTTTGCAAAATATTTTGGAATTCAGCAAACCTCTCTCTCTATGTATATATAGATAGATAGATAGATAGATAGATAGATATAAGTGTGGATGCAATGCAAAAATTTTTTTGACCAAAATTATTCTCTATTTATTTGTTTGAAAAAGGATATAAAAGTTATTTTATTACAGCTTTAATGTCAATTTTAATGGCTACTAAAATGTCTATATTTGTATATTTAATACATCTCTAATTGTAAGGGTTGAAAATGTGACTTCAATTATTACTTTCCACCTCATTTAATCCCTTCTCATTAAGTCTTATACTTAAGGTATTAAATCCAAATTTTCCTTATTAAATCCTATATTTTTAAATTATTCTTCACTAGTAAATGCTACTAATTAGATTTATGTCAATATTTTTAACAATATAAATTCATATAATTTAAAACTTACTCAAAAACAAAACCATTTTTTATCCAAGTGGTGGCTAAGAAATTCAACCATCCGAACCAAATTGGTCAACCTACAAAGTCATAGTTATGTAATAAAATTTTTAAAATAAAAATAGATATAGAAAATTACAAAGAAATAAAAAAATTAGACACACTTATGATATTTTTATTAATCAAATTTAAAAAAAAAAATAAGTGAAATAAACACGAATTGTTTTTATTGATAATGAAAATGAAGTACATAATTTAGAACTGAACAAAAATGAAATATAAAAATTAATAATAAATAGTTCAACTTCCGGGTTAAATATGTTAACCTGTAATGTCATAAATAAAGAATAAAAATTAATAAAATGTAAAAATACAAAAAAAAAAAATAATTTTTGCAAAAAAAAAGCATTCATGCACATGTATGAATTTGATACAAAAAAATACAAAAAAAATGAACACATTTATAATTCTATATTTACAATACTATTAAATATGAATAAGATTGTAGAACTTTCTTTTGATTAAAATACTCATTTTTGAATTTAGTTCCTATTTAATTGTAAGGTTTAAATTGTAAATTGAACTACTACTTTTCACCTCATTCAATTTTCTCTATTTAAATCTTATATTTTTTGATAAATGAACAAAAGAAAAAAGATACATAAAAAAAAGATAAAGCACTACAAAAAGAAAAGTCTAGTCAAGCAAGTAGGCGTGTCAATGATATTTGAAACTTCACAATTTGATCTGATTATCTTTTGATGGGGTGTTTATGTAATTAGATTTGGATTTTGCAATTTGCATCTAATTAATAATAAAATATGAAAATATAAAAATATATAAAATTTATAAAAATTTTTTGATATATTATTACTATCATTATCAAAATCTAGAATTACCACATGCAAAACACATGCACACTTACTAGTAAGAAAAATGTTAAAACAGATCACATACTCAAACTCACTTGGGAGCATGAAATTCGAAGTCCTCATTTCCTTGTTGTGACCAAGACGAAAAAATTCTTAGGATGTTGAATGGAGATGGAGGAGGGAGGAGACACATTTACAGACATGTTCTCTGTCACTACACAACAATTAACAAAATACAAATAAAAGGTCATTACGTCCCAACTATCTGAGGTTTTGAAAGGGGTAGATTGGGTATGATCCATGGTTCAAAGTATCAACATGCTCAATACATATTTTTTATATATCGAACTTTTCAAAGCATCTACACTCCCCTCAAGAAAAGGTTTCACATGTTAATTAAATGCAGAATAAGGCATTAGAGTATGTATTAATGCTTGAAAATATTCATTAAGCCAAATTCCTCATATATGGTTATGGTTACCAGAATCCTCAAATATATATGATACAGTGTGATGTATCGACTAACTTTCGAACTCAAATTCATCTTATTACCCTTGCCAACCCAAAATTTTATCATCACAGACCAAGTAAATGCACAGAAATAATAGGTGGAAATTGGACAACACATATCGATATGACTAATATTCATTTTTTTTTTTATCTTTTAACTTTTCTATTTAATTGGAATAGACATGAAATGTTTTAAAAGTTTAAAAATATTTCTATATCAAAAGTCATGTTAAAACTAGGTTGAATCGGCAATGTTTTAACACTTGGATCAGACTAGATGGTCGAGCCAATTACCTGGTGACCCAGTGACGTTTTCTGGGTCCCTGTTAAACGATGGTTTTCACGGGTTGAACAGGCTAACTGTCCGGTTAACCAATAAGACTGTTATAGTATTCCGGTTTTAAGTCCGATACAAGTCTTGCAACATTGTCCATCGGGTCCCATTTATTAGCAACTTCCGGCCAAACAGAAAAAGCTCCCTTCATAAACTCATTCCATCAATTAACTCTAGGTCTCTAGCAATGTTGTAACACTCGAGCCGGAATAATAGCTGGAAGCCTGGAATGCTTCATGGGTCCCAGTTTTTTCGGTTAACCGGGCGGATAAAACCGTCATTTAACCGGGATCCGGAAAGGCCATCGATTCCGGTTTTCACGATCCGACTGTCCGGTCGGGCCGAATCTTTCCGCATTGCTCTCTAGTCCGACCGTACTTGATCTTGTGTCCAAACAGAAGAGAATTTTGTTTTTTTACGCGGAAAACGTGAGGCGGGAATGAGTGGAAGTAGTTATCCAACTCTCTTCCACACATTCAAAATCCAACGTCCACTTTTCCCAACAACTTCAGAACCAGAAAAGTGAAGGAACAAAACTCACTCACTCGCTCCCATGGCTACAACATCCCTGCTACACAAATCCATCTCACCTTGTCTTACAAACCCGCATTCAATTTCATCAACCCACTTCGCCCATCTGTCAATTTTCTTATGTCCAACAGAGAAGCCTCCGTCTTGTAGAAGACTACTTACAACAAATGCCAAGAAAAAGAATCCATGGCTCGATCCCTTCGACTACGGAGATGACCCAGAAATGGAGTATGGTTCATTGTTCTCTGAAGGGAAACAGGAAGAAGATCCGAGGCCTCCCGATAATCCCAACAACCCATATGGTTTCCTCAAGTTCCCTTTTGGGTTCAATGTCGAAATTGCTTCATTGGGTTTGAAGGTGCGAGGGGATGTGAGACGGTGTTGCTGCTTTGTATCGGGTGGTGTTTATGAAAATTTGCTCTTCTTCCCTGCAATTCAATTGATCAAGGACAGATATCCTGGTGTTCAAGTAGATGTGGTTGCATCTCCAAGGGGGAAACAGACGTATGAGTTGAATAAGAATGTGAGATGGGCGAATGCATATGACCTGGATGATGATTTCCCTGAGCCAGCAGAGTATACTGACATGATCGGAGTTCTAAAGGTTGGTTGGTATCTCCTGATAATTTTTGTTCTTCTACAGTTCTACTTGATAACATTCCGAAAGAATACTGATTAGCTTTAAGCCTTTTTCTTTTCATGTTAGACTGTGAGGTTGCCATATAGAAATGCCACTTCTTTCTATGAAAGAATGGTAGGATCCATCTAATGGATGCCACAAAGGTTGCGGAATGGGTGGGCGAATTTCAAAAATTTTCCTACCTTCTCCCAACTGGGAATCATATTCCCTAAATTTAGAATACAATATTCAAGGATCCTACTTGAACTATAATCAAA